TTTCCTTCCAGTGTAGGGAGAGGAAGTCAGAGCAAGGACTACAGGCAAGAAAGGCAGGAAAAACTATCCTCCTGTCTGATCCTCACCTGCACACACAGCACTGTGGTTAGCCTATAAACCTGTCACAAGGGCAAAGAGCAGCAGGTCACTGGTTTCAGAAAATCCACTCAAGACTCATCTACCCACAAAGGGAGATTGTGCTTCATATAGTTTCTGGTTTCTAATTGAGACCCTATGGCTTTTTTGAAAAGCCATAACCCCTCCCACACACTAATTTGAAGACCTGAGAGTCTAAAGTTTTGTCTTTTCTCATTTTGCTTGGGCAGAAACACTGAATTTCACTTTCTTCTGACCTGTGGTTAAACTGCCATTTTGAGATAAGAACTCTGCTCTGTGGAACTGAGGGCTCCACAGCTTCTCTGTTATGAAAGCCCTGCAAAGTCTTAAACAGGCTGCCCTTCCCAGTAAAAATACTTGAGGTTTCAGAGAAATCCAGTTGCTGCTGCCAACTCACAGTATTGATTTTTATAACATACCTTCATGTTTCTAGAGAAAGCACTAGAATTCTGTCCTGGAAACTTTCTGAACTTGTGACTCCAGAGCCTATTTTGTTAGGGAAGCACCTCTGGATGCCCAAAGCTTTATCAAGCTTTATTTTCCCCTCAATCTCCTGTCAAATAATCCTTCAAAGTTAACATTACAGGCTAACATGACTGTCTAGTATCAGCTTAACCTACCTGATCTTCTCCTCTGAGGTCTTCTGTTTTCATCGTTCACCTGCCCTTGGGTCTGCACAGGTGCTGGCTGAACTGTATCTACTGAACAAGAAGGATAAATTTAATCAAGGAGCACACCAGCAAACCCAAACCAGTGCTGCAATGCATCTCTGAAGGATGCTGGGACCCAGCAGGTGGGAGCTGGTGATACATACCACTGGCCTTGCTGTTGGCCGGGGGAACCTGCCGCACGCTGCGCTGAATCCCTGGAGTCACCTTCACTGGTGGCAGCTTTTGGGAATTCAGGCTGTCAACTGGGCCAGTCTGAACAGCCTGTTCTACCATGGGGCTTTTGCGCACTGGGTGAACAGAAGGAAAGCCAGCACCTGGAAAAAATCCCAGTGACTAAGTGCCTCTTGGAAAATGTGCCAACTCCATTCAAATCCTGCCCACCTCTATGGAGAAACTGTTCGGTCAAGAGTTACTCAAAGCCTTGACTGTGCATCATTACAGGCTAAGTTTAAGTGGCTCATATACCAGGTAAGGTAGCACTGCCATGTGGCTCTCCAATCCAGAGCCTCAGCATCAGGAAATCTACCCATTTATTTCTTAAATCAAGTCAGACACACATTAGACAACCAAAGCCAGGTCAGTCCTCAGACAGTTTATACCAAAGTATGATCTCTAGGTGTATTTTACTTCACATGATACATTAAATCTGAAGCAGAAATCCACCATTCTGAAACTGTTCAAGAAAGTTTCCCCACTTCATCAAAAAAGAGTTTTGCAGCAAAAGCTTAAACACCTCAGCTACATCCCCTTTGATAAGCAGCTTTTGGAAGTCCTTCAACTTCATTGCTTATGGTTAGCTCTCAGACAAAGAAAACCTGAAACCAGACCAGGATCTCAAAGTTACCCTTTTAATTTCCTTCTTGGTCAAGGCCAAAGTGTTACCAAGACTTCTGTTGCTCTTCCATCCAGGCTTATTTATTCACACTACAAAACATGTAAATACTTTTCATGGTTTGGTATACCTCACACCAATTATATTAAACAGTGACAGTCTTCAGTACTCAGAAGAAACACTGCATTCTAGGTTTAATTAGAAGGTTTGGAGTACTACAGATTTATGTAGTTATGCATAAGAACTGCTTGGAAGCAAACTTGAACTGAATATATTAAAAGAGCAAGAAAACTGAAAAGCTGAAGAGTACACACAAACCAAGGCACTGGCACCTCTGGGTCACCCAAGGCCACATGAGATATACCCAGTAGGTTACAACATGCAGGTTCCCAGTTAAAGTACAGCTGGAAAACTTGCAAGGAAGACAGACATACCCTAAGCATTATTCAGCAGAAAAAAAATAACATGAGAAAGCTTCAATGCTCAGCCATAATACTGACAAAGTATGTACAGACAGATGGCCAAAACCAGAGGGTAAGTAACAAGCTTCATGCCAACACAAGCATACATGCTTAAGCTAAAAACATGAAACTAATTACCATGTACAAATGCAGGCTGCACCTGGGCTCTTTGCTCTGAGGATGGTCAGGCTAGTTCTCTACTCAATCTCCTTTGTTTTACACACAGAAACAAGCACCCACAACTGTGTTATCTCAGCTACCCACGACTCAGGGATTGATTACTGTTAGCCATGCTTTACTGACTGGAAGTCTGCACAAGGTACAAGGCCCCATCATGCATGAAACTTTTCCTGATGTTTCCTCAAGTACAAAAATACACCTGAATTTTCAATTGCCTGAAGTCTCTAACTGCAAGGCCACCCACAACTTAAGCAGTGTGCTGGTCTTTCCAGCAAAGGCTAATCAGTTCCTCACCCAATCCCTATGGTGACACATGTTCCTGGACAGGATGCAGCACACAAATATGCCTAAGCTTCATCCCTTTCCTGATACTTACACAAGAGGATCCACTGTCCTGGACTTTTCCCTTCTCCTGTCTTTCTAATTGATACTTCTAGGACAGGAGGAATAATACTTCATGTAATGAAAGGCAAAAAAAAGCTGAGAACAAACTAGTTCTACCAGCATTATCCACATGAGCACTATCATTCTAGGAGGGGTTAACAAGAACAGAGTGTTTGCAAGTGCCATGCAGTTCTTCCAAATATTTGGAGTCCTCAAACTGCTGTTACCCTTGGAAGAAAGCTGATGGGGCTCTGAAGACATGTCAGGCTCTGAAACAGGTTGTGGAGACGGAGAAGAACTAGGGCTGGAAGCAGCTGCTGATGCTGGAGGGCTTACCAATTTCTCTAAAGAGATAGAGGGAAGAAGAGAAAGCAAAGATACATGGATAAGATACAAGGTAGCGAAATATCTGAAGGACTTGGAAAGAGATACAAGAATCTCTAGAACAGCATTAGAGCAGCTTATTTACAGCCCCCTCTGGGAATACAAGCTCTTTTTACAGGTGATGCATGTGTCAGGTTAGAAGTGAACTGGCCTTAGCTGTTAGGTATTCACATTACTTTCAGAAAGAAACTTCAGCTATTTAGTTTCTTTCATGTGCATGTGTGTGTGTGCAGGTCTAAGTGAAACACAGGCCTCCTTGTAGTAAAACCACTGCACAAAGTTGGTAACTGCTCGTTCACTGCTGGTTGCAGCCTGACACTTGGCAAGGAGTTTGGTATTAGTTACTGTTATTTGGTTTCACAGTAGCTGCATACAAGGACTGTACCTTTATTCTAGCAAGTAAAGTTTTTACTTACCTAAACCTAAGGAAGCTGCATACTGCTGGCTAAGCAAAGAGCTGGCAGCAAGCTGGCTGTAAGGTGGCATACCTCTAAACGGGCTGTAAGGCACATGTGGCTGAAAGGATGATGTAGAGGCAGAGCCCAGTGAAGACTGTAACAAGACAAAGTACATTTCCATTTACAGCGTCCAGAAGTCAACCTGCTTTGGCAGTGATTCTTTACTTCATGTACAGCATTACTAAAGCTTAAGTAAATACTGAGGAGGGTTAGTTTATCTCTGTAATTTTCCTGCATTCTCAGCTAGCTCTGGCATTTGTTGACTGAAGTCTTTAATACTGCTGCTATTTTAAACATTACCATGAAATTCAGGATGCTTCAAGCAATCTGAAGATTCCTGGAGACACTTACTGACCTTCATAAGTTTTTTACCCAAATCCAGTCCTTCAACACAATATTTTATCACAGCTTTCTACCAACACTTCAGCCTAACTTACTTGGACAATGGCAGGATCTTGTGGCAGAGTATGTTGAGCTTTTGGAGGTTCACAGACAGTGATGTCTTTGATGTCACTCCCTCGAAATATAATGTATTCATAGATCTCTTCTCTGGGAGGAGCAGGTCTGTCCGTGGGCCGGTCCTCGGTGCCGAAGGATCGCACTGGAGCAGGAAAGAGATGATCCTTAGTGCAGAATTACCACTGCAGTGTTGTGTAAATTAGAATTTATGCAATTAAAAAACACTCCTGTAACACTTGACAACTGCAACAACAGAAAAGGTTACCTCCAGAACCCTCAATCTCCTCCTCACACACATCTGTTCCCTCAAATGCCAACTCTTTCTGCAGCCTGGATAAACAGTTTTGTTTACATCAAGCTGTGAAGGTAAAGACCATGGACCAGCTGGAGTGAAGAATCCTACTCCAAACCCGAGAACTTCCCCACAGTGCTGTGCTGCCATACTCCCCTTCCCTCCCCAGCACCTGTCCTGTGCTGGCATTCAGCCCCAGACAACTGCCACTGCAACAAACCACAGCAGAGGCCCCTGAAACAGCAGAGGGAAATCTTAGGAGGCTTTAGAGCTCAAATTTGCACCTTTTGTTTCATCTATTTACTATGCAGATAGAGGCAAAATTTTATCAATAAGAACTTCCTGCTAAAATTCCCTCTCCAAGTCACTGGTTTTATGACTAATATCCACTGACTACAAAGGAAGCATTTAGTGACAAAACCAAAATCTCAGTGCCTAGGGAGGCTTTACTGAGCCCCAACTACCAAAACACTTGAGCAGGCACTAACCAGTCATGGTGCAAGTTAGAGTGGAGAAAAGGCTTCAGCTGACACTGTGGTGTTTACTAGGTAGAAGAATAAATTAATCTGAGCCATTAAAAAGGAAGAGTCAGACTCAGACTTACTCGATTGTTGGTGCAGGAGAATAGGTGACAGTTACATCAGACACTGGCAGGTGAAAGTTTGATATGTCACCACCACAAGTTAGAGCAGCTCACCAAGCTCACTAGCCTAGCTGCTTTCTGTCTTCATGAGGCCTTGCCCGTTTGGATAAACACCAGCACATACTGGTTTGCTGCACTTTCAGCCAATGCAGGTATTCTGCACTGGAGTTCCACCAATTGCTTCTAGCAGGTTACTACAGCAGTACTGGAACCTCTGCCACAACATGCCACGATTCCTGCAGTGCCTTTACCAATTACATCCTTGACAAACCTTTCACAGTCTGTGGTGACATGTCAGCCAGCTGCCACTCCCACTGCACAGCTGGAAAGATACAAGCAGACAGTCCTGTCACACTGATGACAGGAGACAAGAGGTACCAGAGCTTTCCCAGAAAAAGGGCAGCAAAACAGGATCCACTGAATCCCAGTGGAGCATCCCTGGCATACTAGAGTGCTACTAACTTACAGGAGTGTTGGTGGTTGTAGACAGGGATTCTCCAGAGTCATGTTCTGAGATGAACAGCTGTATCCAGGCAGTTCTCCTACCAAGCAGCAGTTAATGCTGCAATTGGTCTTCACCCCTGTTCACTATGTAGGTGAGTTCCCAGGGAGCAAACAGCTCCAGATGCAGCAGGTCCACACCAGACTGTCCCTGTCACACTGATGCTGCTCAGCACCTCAGCTTGCACCTAATGGGAAGGGAATCTTCACTGGTACAAGGACAAGCTGCAAGCCCTTTCCTTTGAATGGCCACCTTCCATGAGTTCCTAGGGTAAATAACCTCTCCAAGTTATTTTAGACCTCCAGCTGCTGTTTGATCATATTACAGCTGTAACCCAGTCAACTAGAAACAGATTATAAACTGAAAGCAATGCTTGTGGCCTTTCATATACACACTGTACCACTGATAGCCCTGCTCAAGATTAGATTATTACAGCACACAGCTCATGGCAAGATGTACTAAAGGTATCCAGGGAATACAGCAGCATCCTACAGATAACTTGGAATGCACCACAGTCAGCCCATCAGCTTCCACATGGACAAACACACAGCCTGCAAAACCCAAAGCTGCCCAGGCAGCCTCTCAGCTGGCTGGTCCCAAGGTTTCTAATTAAAAAGGTGGAAAACCACATCCTTGTAGACAAAACAGCAGTGAAGGCGTGTGAGAGGGCTGGAGGAGTTGAGCTTGCCTGTCCTTGCATCTGAAGTGTTTCACTATTCCTGGCACAGCACAAAGCGCAGCTCTAAGCTCCCAGGGAGGTCAGGAGGGCTGTCTCCCATGGAGAGTTGGTGCCTATTGCTTACAGATGAACAGGAAATCAATCCCATATCACTGGTGCTCTACAACACAGATCCTACTCGTGTGTAGGGCTGTTGAGCTGTAAAGAGGCAGGAAGCCTAACAGGAGTGTCTGGACAGCAGAGCTTATGTGGATGTTTCATGCTCAAAAACTTTATAGTTTCTTCAGGCTTCTACAGAAGGAGTTAGTGCCTAGGCATCACTGCTAACAGGACAGTAATGGGCTTAACACTTCCTTTGTTTGCAAGTTTAGCATCTAACAGGACAGACAATTCCTTGTAGTGATTAATTAAGCACATGGAATCTCCAGCACATAAGGTGCTGTGCATGTGTTGGGATTTAACAACTACAAATCAGCTGAAGTCAGCCTGGATTGGAGAGGCAGAACCAGATTCCTTCCTGAGGTCTCTTTCAACCTAAGTTTTTCTTTCAAGTCACTTGAACGATAAAAGTCAGGAGAATGGCACTTATGTTACATACTCAAGTTGTCTGAGCCTTAAACAGTGGCATCTTGGGCTTAATAACAATTTACTTGCTGTCTGGTCAACATCAACTGCATTTCAGTAATTTGTGGCTCTTCTAACCCTGCAGAGATCAAGTGTTTTAAACCACTGCCCCCTCCCCAGAGTTCATTACTGCTGACACCCACTTCAACACTGCTGCTGTGCTCACAATTTTGACCCTAAGTCTGATGTCTCTAAACCTGAAAAACATCTGAGCCCAAACGAAAAGCAGTTTGTGCTGTAAAGTTTATAGAGCAGCACCTCAAGTGGGGAGAAATGTGCTCTCCATCTATTGTAACAACTACTTCTTAGGCATTTCAGTTCATCAAAACTGAACACTGAGAGACCAATAAATACAAGAACTGCCAGAAACCTTATCCAGAGCTTGTACTTACACCATAAAGCACTTCAATCACACATGCCTTTGAAACGCATCACTTCAGCTCTGAAGTACCAAGTGCTCTGTGCGAGGCAGAGCTGTGTGAGGAACAGCAGCTACTTGCTGCTGGGTGAAGATCTTCCTGCATATACAGGGAAGGAGCTGCATTGTCCCAGCAAGCTCTCAATTACCTTGAGCAAAGCACTAACACAAACAGCTCCATCTGCACGTTTAAACCCTACAGAAAGGGTACATTTGAGGGAACTCAAATTTTTAACTGCAAGATACACTCTAATAGGTGTCAAATAACGTTCAGCATCACATAAACACCATTAAGCTGCATAAACACCGAGGCACAGCTGCCCTGAGGATAGGTGTGAATCTGGCAACTCAGTGTCAGCAAAGTGTCTTCCAAAACAAAAGGTGTTTGTTTTGCGGGCAACCCTGATGGATTGCTGAAGGCGGTGAAGGAGGTGTGAACTTGCCAGAGCAAGGAAGGACAAAACTCAGGGAGAGAAAAAGCTGATGCACATTAGCTGGACCCGAACGGTGCAGAAATAAGATCACGTTCGAGACACTGAACAAGACGGGACAGGTTTTACGGAGTAGCAGCCTGGGAGTTCCCAGCACAGGTGACAACGGGATGCTTAGGGAGAAGATGAGTATTCCTACGGGGTAACAACACGCAAAGCCTCGCTGAGTACCCCGCACGGTCGCTGAAGCCAGAGCCACGTGCAGGTGCCCCGCGGCAGCTCTCCCCCTGCTCACCTGAGCACAGCCCAGGGATCGATCAGGGAAGGAACAAAGACA